ATTATAAACTAAAAATTTTATTTAATTGTTCTTCATTTCAATATTCAATTATTACAGTATAAATCATCATGTACGAATATTTTAAGGCAGAAAATGAGCCTGAATGTGTATGTATTGATTTTGGAGAACATAAAGAACCATGCTTCTAACTAGAACAAATAATGTAAAATTGACACATACCAATGGTTGTTTAGGTATAACAAAATTCAGATTCAAGCCTTGCCTCAATTATGAAGCAAATTTGTGCAGAAATCTCTACATTCAGAGAGAACACACTCAACTGTAGACACTTTTCGCCAATGAAATAAAGGAGGACTGCTGTCTTACATCTTTTTCTGCAACTCAGAGCATCTCCAAAGATGGACATTACCCAGGTTCTTCAACTTGTTTGCATGACCCAAAGTCAGGCATTATCCCTTAACCTAATTAAACATTTGGTAATGATATGAGCCTAAAATATTTGGATAATGTTGGTTAAAGGATATAGATATATATCATTAATAAAGAAAATACCAGAAAGTTAGAGTCAGCAGCTTGTATTTCTGTAAGTAATGTAAGAAGAATTTATTTTCCCATATTTTACATTATAAAAAGTCAGGTTTAATCCAGTTAGGTTATGAAGCAAATTCAAGTAATCCTTTAAAATCAGGAATAATTAAGGAAACCATGCCACATATCCTAACATGGGTTATACTGGACCACAACAATTCATAAATGGCTGATATCTTTTATGATTGATTAAATTGTGCCAAACTACCTTTGAACATTTTGTCTTTGACTTTCCTATCATCATAACTTTCAGAATACTTGAATACAATGCTGTTGTGTCTGTGTAATGAAAATGATTCATTTCTAACCAAAAACAAAAAAGAATGGAGTTGATAAGTTACTTTTGGATCCAGAAACAACACATCAGGAACATAGTGAAACACCACAGCACTCCTCAATCAAAATAAGAGTCTAATAATAGGTGTTATATGATTCAGATTCAAGATATTTTTGCCACTGTTTTGTAATCATTTTAATAAAAAAGCCACATGGAAACCTTTTTCCTTGTTCCTTGTTTCAAAAGTTCCTATTGACATTAAAACCAACTAGCTTCTCTAAGTGATCATCCTTTTGAGTTTCTTCACCTTCAGAAGTCAAAGTTCAGAACTTGACTAATAGATTTTCACTTTGGCTCTTCAAAAATGAACTTATTCTCTGAAAAGAGATAGCTAAATATCAGAAAACTTTCTAATGTCTTCTAATAAAATACCTACACTACCGAGAATGGAATTTATACGTTTCATTACGTTTTCCCATTATATATATATTTATAAATAACCTTTTAGTATTGGATACTTAATGTATTTAGCACATTAAACTGTAATAGGGGTATTATAATTTAATATGAATTAAATATTGATATTAAACTCATTGAACATGCTTCTTTTCTGACAACATAAATTAAGTATACTTTTGTTTTAAGCAATGAATAAATTAGCTTGTTTTAATGTATGGAATATTATATTTTCCTACTTCTGTTTTACGGTGGCTTGCCTTATGTTGTGCAGGTTTATTTGATGCACTAGCTTATTTAAAAGAGATGGTAATGAACCAAATATATTTGACAGGCTTAAAAAGATCTAACTCTACATATGAAAGATCAACTATCTTGGTGTGTCAGCATTCAACCAATCTGAGAAAGTCTGGGACACCGCTACTTGAATTCACAGTAGGAGCAAAATGTCCTGAATCTACTTACACATTTCAATTGCTAAATATGCTGTTGTGTTATATGCAATTCTATTTGCTCAAGCTATATTAATTTGCATGGTACATTTCCAAGAAGAAATGTAAGCCTGACTCCCATATTGCAACTAAATTACAATTCTAAGAATGATGATTAAATCTTAAAATGTTAAGATTTAATGTTAAGATTTAATGTTATGTTTAATTTAAAAATTAGCTTTCTGTTAAAAAAATCAAAATTATAAGTTTGTGATACAAAATAACAATATGTTTTCAGTGTAAAACATTTGGAGTAAGCAGTGCAATTAGAAAAAAAACTTTTCAAAATATGCTCATAGAAGATATTTAACAAGATTCCCAATGTAGCTTCCCTTCATTGCTACTGTGGATTATTTGTGTGAAAAGAAAATTTATTTTGAATCTATGCAGATATAAAGGGAAACCCTTGCAGGGATGGGGTACAGAACAAACACTTCTCACAAACATCAATATTTCTACATGAACATTCATGCATTTTTTTTGAAGGGATACAGTTCAATGCTTTGTGTCTAAAAACTACTTTAATCCTAGTGCACTAATAGTAAATCTTTATATCGACTACGATGTAAAATAAATCATGTTCATTTTTCTAAGTTGGTGCATGATCTTAAAAAAATGAAAAAGCTGCAAAATTATGCATCACAACTACTATACCACCTCTTACTACAACTATTATTACCTTTACTATTGCATTAATTCTTTAAACCAAGCATTTTATAAGTATGTTTTTCATTCAATTACTACAGAACACATTTGTCTGGCAAGAATATTTGAGAAAATAAAGTTATACCAGGGACTCCAAATAGAATTCAGGGCATAAATAAATAGCTGAGAACTGTATAATGCAGAGACTCAAAGACCTCACTGAAAATGTATGTGATTTCTTTCTTGAACTCACTCTTTGGTGCTGCTGAATTATTATTATGGTTACTATCATTCCATACCTATTCTTATTTGGAATAAATCTCAATCACTTCCAGGAATATTTAGCAGAATTCAAGTGAAAGGTGGTTAAGGACTGTTAATTCAGCTTCTCCTGAACAGGACTTTCATTAAAAAAAAATCTGGGCATGCAGACAATCCTGTTTTTTAAAACTTCCTATTTGATGTTGAATTTATGTGTGTGTAATTGTTTGTGTAACTTAACTATGCATTTCAATGTAATGCATTTTTTCTTAATTCATAAGTCACACTGGATTCAGAAGATGTTCTGTGAAAGAAGAGTGCACAAAATTGCTTTATTCATTTGCCTGAAGTTTAATTTTAGTACTCAGCATATATTAAGACTGGATTAAATAGTACAAATTAAATGTTTCCTGTTCATAGATTCAGAGATATAGCTTTATAAATGGGAAGGTGGTAGGGGAAGATTATTAGAAACCTTTAACCATAATTCTATTTCAATCCCTCCCAGAAAAAATGTTTAGGTTTGGCTTCTCCCAGTTAAAATGTTTAGGACTCACTGGAGATTTATGGAAGCTAGTCCCATTGTCTTTTAAGGAGGCTTATAGCATACTTACGATTGCAATTTAATGAATTTCTCAGAGGCTGAATTTCTAAAGTTAATCTTGCTTTGAATATGGAAGAAATTCTTATTACCCAGCTAATCATGTATTTTACCTGATGTCTTATTGACAAGTACAGTGGATCACTCACTTTTTCATTGTTTTATATATAAACATCAGGAAAGATTGGTAGAACTGCATTGCATTGCCCATGGAAAGTAAGCTTTCTTTGTACAATAATTCTGTTTTTAAAATGCAAATTTAATAGTTATATCCTGAATCAATTTTATTTTTTGGTTCAGTGATCAATATAGTTTTAGAAATGCTAATTTCATACTCATGGCTGGCCTTATAAAGTGTAGAGAATCTATAAAAATGAAAAATTCTCTATTGGGACAAATATATTCCTAATCGAAAACTTCTTTCTCCCCTTCTTTCAATAACTAAATTTACTGATTAGAGTGTAAAATGCTACATTTCAGTTCTCACTGTCCAGCATATAACTTTCTAAACCTAACTTGTTTATTTAAGCAAATTTACTTGTAATAAGCGGCCATTAAGTAGAAAAGGGAGACACACTTTTTCCAGTAAAATGAAAATAAATAAATTTAAAGACATGCTATCAGTATTTGGTTATGTTTTCTATGTGTTGCATTACTGTAATAAATTAATTTGATGTCAGTCTTTAATACATAAGTTTAAAGAGCCCTTAATTTTAATTTTCTTGTGAAATAAGCATTAACAGATTATTTATAGCTAACACTGGAAGAGCATGCCTGCAACTCATGGATGGTTTGACTGCAAACAAAGTATTACATGGGCATTTTGTGGAAATTTGGGCCCCAACATTTGGGTATCCTAAGAATCCTTGATTTTTTACATCTTGTTTTTTGGGAGGGTGGGAGAGAGTGTAATTGTAAAGTTCAGGAAAAAAACGTTCAACTTCTTGTATTTGGCTGTTGCAACAACTTAAAAAGTGGGAGAAACTGCCCCAATTAATGACAGAAAATATTTACAAAAATAGCTTTTATTTTTTACAGCTTAATGTTTTTCATAGTCCTCAACTCAGCACTTCAGCTTTGAATTTGTTTTGAATTTCTTATCATTTCTCCTTCGAGTTTAAAATGCAAGTATACAGAAATCCCTTTGCTTATCTCTTTCAGAAATTCAGGCTTTTGGGAGCAAGAGCATAACTTCATAATCTCTTTTTCACAGATTACAACTAACGGGTCAGTTTGTAATGGGAAAAGAAAAAGTAGTAAACTCGGCCCAAGAAACAACTATCTTCCCAGGTTTAGAGCCAGACTGTCGCTTAAAAAAATGTCCCTCTTCCGAATAGAGTATTCAGCGCGATATTTGTTCATTATACATTTGTGTGTATGTATGTGCGTGTGAGTGAGTGAGAGGGAGAGAGAGAGAGGAGAACGCGAGCTCTAGCACTTGTTCGAAGCGCACGCACTTCACTCTTCTCCGTTTCTCACTACTCAATAAAACTTCTGCTTTTTACACCCTTCCCAAAAAAGTTTACAGCCATAGAATAAACAGCTCCGAAAGAAATAGAAAAAGAAAAAGAAAGGAAAGGAAAAAGAAAAAGAAGGAAGGGAGGGAGAGAGAGAACAAACGAGAGAGAGAGAGAGAGAGAGAGAAAGAGAACCGCTGTCAAAACAGCAGAATAAGACAGGCCAATTTAGATGGGCGCGCTCTGGCGCGAAAATACGGTACCTGCTCTGGCCGGAGCTGGATGCAAAGAACTCGCCCAGATCTCTCCACTTCCATGTGCAGCGGCTCCTCGGCCAAGCAGAGCGACAGGAGGCAGCTCCGCTCTCAGTCCCTCCCCTCGCCACTCCACTTCCTCATTCCAGTGCAACATCTTTGAAAACGGCCGGTGGCTCCTGCGGGCATTTCGCCCCTGCACTGGGTTTTGCGGAGCTTTTTCATTTGTGGGCAGGAGGGAGAGAGCGCGGGGGACTTGTCGTGCCTGTCAGATGATGAAGGCAACACCCCTTCTGCTGCTACCTAAGGTTCCTAAGCAGGGCAAGGGCACACTTTGCCTTCTTGAATCCTGATGGATGCACCTTGTGTGGAAGTATTGATTTATTTGGTGAAAGAAAAACCCAAAGAGAAAGATAAGTCTATTTTCATTCAATAGTGAGCCTGGAAAAAAGGAGCCTTCACCACTAGTATACCTTAGAGCCCAAGATGATCATGTGGGGGTTGCCTTTATATCCTGATAAATATAAGTATAATCTTTACTGTCATTGTACTTAAATACAACAAAATTGATTGTAAAAAACTTCCCATATTAGTCTATCATTTTTCTCTGAATAGTCTTGGAATAGATGTCCCAGTTCTAAACCCAGTTAGCTTGAAAAAATCTAATAGTATAAGATCCAAATTGAGTAATAGCTTTGGTCTTCAGATTAAAATAGGTCTTCTCTAGATAGGTGTGTGTTTGGATCCAACTTATTGAATTAAGTTCAACATACTTTTGATTAAATGCACCTAAGACCACACATTTTGCATATTCCAATATTCCCATGTTGGAAGTATTATTAAGAATTATTGTTATATCTATAAACTGTCAAATAGTGGTGAAGGCATGTTGAACTTGTTCCAGAAAGTTACTTCTAATTTCTATTACTGATTTCTATACATAGTATCAGAGGTGGGTTGTTCCTGGTTTGGCCCAGATCAGGCGAACTGGTAGTGGCAGCGGCAAGAGGCTCCGCCCACCAGCGGAGAAAAATCCTTTTTCTGTTGAGTTTTTAATTGTTCTTTTAAGTGGATCCTGTTTAATGGATAAATGCTTAAATGACCCAATAATTTTATTTATTCATTTATAAAATTTATGTGCACACATTTTAATTGTGATTCATTCTGTGTTAGTTAAAATTCTCAAAGGTAGGCAAGAAATATATCAACATTAAGCACTATATGGACACTTAGTAGAAATGGGATTGGTGCTTATTCCATGGGAAAAAAATAATCCAATTAAGTCTTTGGTGGGTGTGGCAGGGGAAGGATATTGCAAAATCCATTCCCACCACACTCTGGGGCCAGCCAGAGTTGGTATTTTCCAGTTCTCTGAACTACTCAAAATCTCCGCTACCGGTTCTCCAGAACCTGTCAGAACCTGCTGGATTTCACCACTGCTTTCGGGCTAGTCACAATCTTGCAGACCATAATAGAAATCTTGCAACAGAATAAAAAATAAAATAAAGGACAGACAGACCCAAACATCTCAATTACAAACCCCCAAAATATATAAAAACTCATGTTCTGACCAGACCAATTTGCCCTCTATCTCCAGAAACATTTGCTGTTGTCACTGCTGTATCTGGGTCAATACAGTTCATGGGACTTATCTGGGTGTCAGTTATGGAATTTGTTAGGCAGTTTGAGGACTTTAATTTGTTGGGAGTCAGCCTATTCAGTTTCTGAGTGGGGAAATCTTTCCAGGATACCAAGTAATGGGTTTTTTCTCTGATGCATACAAGAGTCCAAAATGTCTTTGACTTCAAAATTCTGCTATATTATAATGGAGTTGGAAGGTGGTTGCAGTTTGGGACGCAAGTAAGATGTGATTTCTGGTTTCAATAGGCTACAATGAAACACTGGGTGTATGCCAGAGGTGGTATTCAGCCAATTCTGACAGGTTCTGGAGAACCGGTAGCGGAGATTTTGAGTAGTTCAGACAACTGGCAAATAGGCTGGCCCCGCCCTCCACTGCCTCCCAGCCTCCCAGCTGATCTTCTTTTGTTGCCCTGAACAGGAGAATGGAGCTAGTTGGGGTTAGATTTTGACTTGTGTTCTGATGGTGACCGGAGTCACCTGTTGCCTGGAGGGGATGACTAGTTTAATCACCTCTGGCTTTAAACTATTGTCTTGCAGCAACCGGGATAAAGCATCTGCTAGAAAGTTTCTTCTTCACAGGAGATATAACATGACCTTGAATCAGTTAAAGTACTGGGCCCATCAGGCCTGTTTGGATGATAGTCTCTAGGAGTTTTTCAAAGTTTCTAAGTTTTTATGGTCTCTCCATATTCAAATGGGATTTTCTCTCTTTCTAGAAAATGCCTCCAAGTTAGGAGCCACCCAGTGCACTTCTCCCAGACTTTCCATTTCTGCCCCATCTCATTTAGTTTTTTAGAAGTGTAGGTGCATAGCTGTAATACCCCTTGATCATTTTCCTATAGAAGCACTGTACTCATTGCAACATCACTGGCATCAACCTGAATGACGAAGAAAGAGTTGGGGACTGGATGTTTCAGAAATGGCTCTGCTGTGATCAGGCATTTAAGCTTTCTGAATCCAGCCTGGCATTCTATAGTCCATTTAAGTGGCATATACCTTTTGTCTTTAGAAGATGGGTCATGGGGAGAGCTATCTAGGCAAAAGAGGGGATGAATTGGCGGTAAATGTTTGCAAATCCAGAAAGCTTTGTAGTTGCTTCCAGGTGTGGGAAGGAGCCCACTCTAGCATGGCCAGCACCTTTTGGGGGTCGATTTCCATCTCCTTGTGGGAAATGTGGTAGCCCAGATAAAATTTTTTACTCCAGTGGAATTCACATTTGGACAGTTTGGCATATAGTTTGACTGCTCAAAGCTTCTTCAGCACAGCTCTGACTAGTTTTACATGTTCAGCCATGGTCTCAGTATAGATTAAAATGTGATTCAGTTAAACTAACATTCCCTTATACAAGTGTTCATACTGCACTTTGTTTATTACTGCATAAACATAGCAGAGGCCCCTTGCAGTCCAAAAGAGGGAACCCAGAATTAAAACCATCCTAAGGGGAAATTGAAAGTCATTTTCCACCCATCCTCTGCTTAGATCCTAACTCAGTCATACGCTTCCTGCAAATCCAACTTGGTGAAGACATTTCCCTTCTCTCGTACTTAGTTTCTTGACAGGGCATGATTGACCAGGCATCTGGTAAACCCCGAGTCCAGGACGGCTACTAGATTCCCTTTGTGCCCAGAGGATTGGCTCACCAATTTTGGAGGATAGTCACTCGGTTGACCAGGCAACTTATGGAGGGATGATCATTGTAGCCTGATTCATTTTCCACTGGGCTGTCCACTGGGCCTGTTAGAGTTCTCCCACCCTCTTTGGAGGATGGGGAGAACTCTAAGACTTCTACTGCATGCTCACATTTGCAAACTGGTAGAGAAGGTAAGTGTATGCCACCGCTGGACCAACCAAATAATCAGGAGAAGGAAGGAAGGTTAAAGGGACCCTTTAACTATTCTGTTAACCCTCTCCTTCCCTGTTAAAAATACTACAGGGAAATTGATGGAACTTATATATAACTGTTAAATGTCTGTAATCACTAGAGACAAGATTTTAAATTCTGTTAGGGGAAAAAATGTAAAAATAAGCCATAAAAAGAAAATACCTTCACCCTAGTTTGCCTGGCCAGCAAAACAAGGTGAAGAGAACAGTGTTCCTTTTTTCTTCTCTGTACTTTAAGTAGTTTTGTCAGGAGGGAATGTTTTAAACTTATTTAGAAGAAAAGGTTTTTTTTGCATTTACTGTATATGTTGTAAGTGGGTCTAATCTGTCTATCCTTCTTCTAAAACATGAGATATGTCCATCCACAGGAGCCTCATAAACTCAAGTTTGCTTGTGTAGGGAAATAATCTTTTTCTAATTAAATTACTTTTCATCTTCTCAGTAGTCAATAAAATTCCTATAGAACTAATCCTGATACAAATGGTATAAGCATTTTTCAATCTCTAAAACAATATGGTCTTTTCATCTGAACTGTATATTGATAACACTGAGCCAAATGCTACCAGGATGTTTAAATATTTTAAAGTAGGCTCTCCCTGCCCTTCACAAATGGTACAAGGTAAAATATTATGCTTATAAACTTATTTTGGAACATTCAGCATTCTTAAGATGCCATCCCTTAAGTCTTCTTTAATATGTACTTTACCAACATTTGTTACATTTGTTCATTTTCAGAGGTTGTCTTTTCTTGTTCTCTTCCATCACTAGACATCTTTTTATTATTACCAGAATATAGCTTTTCTATCTTTTTTATCTGTGGTGTTCCCATTTTTTTTGTAACAGGTTTATCTGTTTTTTTTTAACAACTGAAGTGTTAATGTCTTGCGTGGGTCTCTACCCCACTCCACCTCTTCATCTCTTCTCTGTTCTCCATTTCTCATGTCAGACTAACAACCCCTCTTCTGGGAGGGTCACCCACAAAGGGGGAGTTGATCTTGTCTTCATATCTTTCACTCCTGCCCAGATAACTCTGCAACCTGTGTAAGCAGAGTTCATGGACCCAGACACTGCTTCTAGAGGAGACTCTCCATCCATTGGAATCATGGGATTTGATTTGGTCATTTGCAAAAAAAGGGGGGGAGGCTCCTGGATCCTTTGGTCCCACATAAAGCCAGCCATAAGATTAAGATTAAGATAACCTTTATTGTCAATTTTTACTGTGAGCACTGTACACATTAAAAAGGAAATTCTGTTTCCTGCTCTCAAAATAAAAGATATATCTATACATTCAGAGAGAACACACTCAACTGTAGACACTTTTCACCAATGAAATAAAGGAGGACTGCTGTCTTATACCTGGTATATGTATGGTATATACATATAGCAGTAACAATAGCACTAGGATTTATATCCAGACCCCTCACATCCTGGACATAAATTGTTTCAACTTCTACTTTCAACTTCTACTCTCAAAACGACACTATAGAGCACTGGGCATCAGAACAAC